CTCATTTTGGAGTGTTTAGTTCAATGAAATTAACTTGTCTCGACCTATACAGTAACACTACGACCGAACAAGATCTGATTCATATCAGTAGATTGAAGAATTTGAAATACTTGAATGTTCGTTATTGTGATATGGATGACAAAAGTGTTAAATATATTGGCAAACTCGAAAATCTTACACACCTCAATGTAAATGAGAATTACATTTCTGATAAAGGTGTTAAATTCATAAGTGAGCTCAAACAACTTGTCGAATTAGAGATTGAAGATAACCCAACGATTAGTCCACAGGGAGTTGAATTAATATGTGGTATGACTCAACTAACTCATCTCAATATCGGTTGTAATTATTTAAATTTTGAGAATACCAGAGAATTAACCAAATTGAAAAACCTGACATCCCTCGATTTAAATGGAAATGAAATCGGTAACGCTACGTATTTGAGTGAGCTAAGTAAACTCACCTATTTAAATATTGGATACTCATGTATGAACAATGAGAATGTAGCCGGAAAGATTTTTCCTCTGGTCTTTCGAGGAAAGTTTCGCTGAAAAATGTTTCCTGGAAATTCCAGTAAACAATATTGATTCATCCTTATTTGAGTTGGTTTATTACCATAATGGCAAAAGTGACTGTATGTGAAGAATCCACCTTAATTTGTAATTTTTTGTTCTGAAGCAGCAAACCAATGATATTAGGAAAAGACATCATGTACTAATTTACTATTTTATTTGATGAAATCAAGTGGAGAATACATAAAACAGATGTTGCTACAAGAAAACACAATGCTAATAATAAAAATATAATTTTAATTAATTATTGAAATAATTCAAGGTGGAAAATCAGCAAGATTTACGACCTTGAAATTACCTTGTTGGAAAATTCACCATTAGTGAATTTTATTGATGGTGTGATGATGATGACCATTAAGATATTTACCTTAATGATCGGAAGTGGACTTGCTGATGATATTGATGATAAAAGATATGATGAAGTGAAAATTCCACAACTCTATGAATACTAAGTGGAAAAATTCCAACTCTTGATGGTGATATTAGACATCCCTAATGATACTATGTTGTTGAAATTCAATCATCATGATGAAAATATATGGTGAATGATGAATACACCACCAACAAGGTGAAAACTCCAAATATCCAAAAATTATTATTCGGAGTGTTGTTGATGAAGTATTTGAATGGTACTATTCGAAGAAAGTTTGGTTGATGATGAAGTACATGTTGAAATATGGTCAATGTATATTTTGAATATATACATAGTATATAGCAATACATATTCGAGTTTCATAGATTGGAATTTTGTTTTCATATGATAGGTATTACAAATAATCCCACATTTGAATTTCTGATAATGGTCTAGTACATCGGAAGATATTGGCCAATTTAGTGAAAAATTAACTTTTGTCAAAATAATACTATTCTCAAATTAAAGTCTACAAATACTATTCTGTAGGTAAAAATTAATGATGATGGTTGGTGTGTGTTCTGATGATGATTCACCAACTTGAATTTTTCCTATATCAAAATTACTATCTAATTCCATAACGATAAACTTCCACATAAAACTACTATCATTACTATTATATTGATGATGTATAGATGATGAGGTTCAATTCTTGGAGTGGGAAGATGAAGAACCACTCCGAAAATAAGCTACTCATAAAATTGATATTTTTTATGAATGCAAGATACGTCTTTGTTGAGTTTACTGTGAATATTCTTTCGATGTCTTTGAGGTTCAAAACTGTGCAATTAGCTTCGGACTCAAAACTATTAAGGAAGTATTGCTTCCGTTTTTATTTTGCTTACTGGATTTTCCAGGAAAGATTTCTTTAAGAAACTCTTTCCTGGGATACCCCAGCCAGAAAT